GAAAATAATCCGCGTTTTTACTTTGCAAAAATAATCAAATTAAATTGAAGTATATAGTGTTTTTAATGTCTTTTAAATGACAATAAGTAGAAATGTGAATGTTGGTATGTGTGTGTAACTTTGTGGCGCATCCAGCAGGGTGGGTGGTCGACAGAGGGAGACGGTGAGGAGTGTATTTCCTATATAGATTTCTTGAAAGAACGGGAACAAGAACGTCATCAACAGGAACACCGGGATGGCCGACAAAGTGGACGCAAAAAGAAGAAGAAGAAGAAGACCCTCTTCGATAAATATTTGTTTTTGTATATAGTTTTCTTTAATTAAACTTGGACACACCGGGTGTACCTGATTATTAAGACACTATGTAAAAGTCACTCGACTTGTTTACCGTCTATCCTATACTCCCGATGACCGCGTCATCCCGTCCTAGCATCTCCGTCACCTGCCGGGGGGGCGCCTCGCGGTGATACATCCGCTGATAGGAATACTGTCGAGAGCGCGCGCGCGCGACATCTAGCAGCAACGGGACGGAACCGGGGAAAACCGGCGGTACATAATTAGCTGGGCATTAAAGTGACCGTTCAACGACGGACGGGTTTTGGTTGGCACCACGGATGACGGTTTGGTTAGGCAGCCCCGAGAGGCTTTAGGACGGGCGGGCGGGGGGTTGTAGGGGGGCCCTGTGAGCCGGGGGGCGCAGGGGGGGACCCTACCAGCGGGCCCATGGGCGAACGGTCCATGGGCGGACGACCAATGAGCGAACGATCCATGGGCGGGCGGGCCATGGGCGAACGGCCAGGACGCAAAAAGAAGATGAAGGAGAAGACCCTCCTCGGGGTCAAAAAAGTGAGGTTATGTTGGGCGAAGTCCCTTTGTTTCTCTACTGCCGTTGATTAAACGATTTGCTGCCATTGTACTGGTTACTTCAATATACTTTGTTAAGCTCAAATTTTTACGAGATGTTTCTGACATGGATTTCTGGAACTTCATACAACGGACACTGACTGTTGGGAACTAAGGGCAGCGATTTTATATAGTTATTTTTCCGCATTTATCTTGACCATGTGTTACCCATGATTAAAAAGAATTTTAAAGAGGATTTTGAAAATGAGGAAATTCAATATGACGCTTAAGAGAAAAACAAAAGATGATTTCGGCCGTAAGCAATATGCAAGGCCTACATTTTTTATTTTTTCGCATCTACATACGCTACTGTTTTAAGGCACGCTGTATCTTATACTGGAGACCCATTATGCTAAAACTTTGCAACTTTTTTAACTGTCTTAAATAACTCTACACCTTTTTGCCTGAAATCAGTTGAAAAATAGCTGCAACTGGGCATAATAAAAAATATTTTTGAACGACATTTGCACTGTAGAATCAAGACTGAATAATTTAGAACACGTATTATGAAAAGTTGTTATACTTATTTCGAGCCTAAAATCCCTAATTGCATAAAAAACGTAACAAACGTTACATTTTGTATGACTCGATAAGAAGCTAAATTAGTGACGTGTCTGAATGCATGAATATTAGAAAGCTCTATCTTATAACCAACTAACTAACCTTCTTCTTATCCAATTAGTAGATTGGGCGACAGTTCTGGCATACTCCTCTCGATCTTGTGTGACTCTAAAGAGTGCTTGCGTATCGAGATTTGTCCAATCATTTGTGTTTTTTTAGCCATGAGTGTTTTTTCCTTCCGATGCCTCGTTTTCCTTCTATCTTTCCTTCCATTATAAGTTTTAAAAACTGGTACATGGAATTACGAAATATATCTCCATTCGACTAAATACTTCAAACTTTGTTGTGTGATCTATCCAGGGAATTTTGAGTAGTCTTCTAAATATCCACATTTCAAAGGCCTCCTCGATTCATCACGTTGGCCTTTATGGTCCAGATATCTACACCATTTATCAGTATGGAGTAAATGTAACATTTTACAAAGCGATATCGAAGCGTTAAGTCCACTGTTGCTTAGCAAGATTCTCATATTAATGAATGCTGTTCTGGCTTGCTCGATCCTGCTACGTATCTCTAAATCTGGATCTAGATCTTCAGTTATCCAACTACCGAGATATCTGAGTTTGATGACCTTTTGGATGTTCTTGTTTTTTACTCTTATATTTAATTGCATGTTTCGCGTTCTGCTAACCACCATATTGATTTTAAGTCTCAGTCGTTCTATTTAAGTGTTTATTCTATCTGTTAATCGTTGTAGCGCTTCTTGGCTGTCGGCTATTATGACTGTATCATCATCATCGAGAAGGTTATCAACAGTCTGTCCGTTGATTTTGATTCCATCTTCAATGTATTGAGAGTAAACATTAAAAAGGAGGGGGGACAGAACACATCCCTGTCTTACACTTTTTTCGATTGGGAAATATGGTTTAAAATCCTGTCCTACTCTCACGGATGCTATTTGATTCATATAGAGGTTCTTTATGATTTTAAGATCATTCTCATCTATCGAAAATTTATTGCAGCAATCTCATTAATTATGAATGGTTAACACAGTCGAACGCTTTCTGGTAATGCAGGTCTCTGCATTTGTGAAGTAGGACAGTTAAGCTATAAAGTGCTTCTCTTGTACCAAAACCCTGTCTGAAATCGAACTGTGTGGGGCTTATGTCTCTCTCACATCTATTGTATATTCTTGTGTGGATTATCTTTAAGAAGAGTTTTAGGACCTGGCTCGGTAAGCTGATCATTCGGAATTGATCGCAGCTATTAGCGTTTGGCTTTTTTGGGATTGGTACAAAGATTGATTGAAGTCAATCCTGTGGTATTTGACCGGACCCATAAATGTCATTGAAAAGTTCTACCAAGGTGTCGATATTGTCTTCACTCAACATTGTTAGAACGTCTATGTATATGTCGTCTGGGCCTGGTGCTTTTTCCCATTTGCTCTGTTTGAGTGCCCTTACAACTTCTGACTTCAATATTTTAGGGGACGGTTCACTTTTATATTCACTTTCAGAGTTTCTTTCTTCTAGTGTTTTCTGAGTATAGTTGCTGTGTATAGTTTCTCCAATGTTGAAGCAGATCCTTGGAAATTCTCCATTTCTGTGCATCTGTATAGCAGCCATTGTTCTTTGACTTTGCGGATCTCTTTCCGTATTTGTCACAGGGTTGTATATCTGTATCTTTGGTTAATCAATAAAAAGTCGATTTTTTTTTACGATATTGTACCATGTATTCGCAATGATTAATTTTTCTTCTTGGCACCTCTTTCGTTACGACATCCGAAACCAAAATCACCATTCAACATTTTCAACGCGTCCTCGCCATACCTTCGCATTGAAATCTCCTATGATTATAAGGGTGTCATTCTTCTTGATCAGTTTCATTAACTCCTTGATCTCTTTGTACATTTGTTTCACTTCATTTTCGGGCTTGTCCAAGGTTGGTTCATAGGTTTGTATAATGTTAAGGTCAACAGGGTCGGCTTGGACTTGTAGTAGTGCTAGCCTATCTGAGAATGCCACGAAGCTTCTTATTGATTTGTTTGGTTCTGTGTTAACTAGAAATCCAACTCCGTTATAATGACGGGGTAGGTTGTTTCCTGAATAATATAGTGTCGCTTTTTCTTTGGTGCATTTACCGATGTTGGGCCATCTGATTTTGCTAAGGCCTATGATGTCCAGGTCGCATCTTTCCATTTCTTGTATTTCTTTTTTACCACTTTCGGGTGGTTCCTAGCATTGTTTTTCTTCGCGGAGATTCTTAGCACTCCTTGGCCACTTCAGGCCTGTCACGGACTAGGGGCCGTTGTTTGCGTTGTCTTTTTCATCCTTGTCTTTCTTGGGATGTCCTTGAGGACCTTTAATATGGTGGTTTCTCATTGCCTTCCGCATTCTTATGCCGTTGACATCTTTTTGTTCATCCACCTTTTAGGGACAGTTTCCCACCCTAAAAAAATAGTGTCCTGTCTCACTTATGCTCGTCCGCCCGCTATCCAGGGACCGTTGGCAAGGTGACTGGGGTCGCTTATTCCGGCGATAGCTCGGTTATTGTTTTTATATTAGCCCTAAATTCGTGGACTTCTGCCCGATCCACCGTTCCGAAACTCTGCTTCTCCGCCTTTCTGCCATTGTGGTCTTGACCCGTATCGCTGGGCAGGGGGTGTTATACCCCACAGAACTAGGTCCCAACCTTACTTAGGCATTTATTCACTCCGGCCTACTGAAGTGGTAGATGCCCACCCCCGCGTCGTGGGCGTGCCAGATTAGATTTACCCACGTGGGCGACAGAGAAGGTGACTCTGTGCTTCGTGAGGCAGGGGCAACTAACTATCCAACCATTAAAAATATGAACATTATTTAAAGTTTCCATTCTTTCACAGGACATTTCACATAAGCTAAACGAAGTAGTGTGGTTAGACATGAATTCTTATCGTTTACTCCTTTAGGTTTGGTTTTTCTATAAAATGAATCATAGTATTAAATTTTGTCCAATATCCCCCCTTAGACACCTTCGTATCTGCAGTTTAATTACATTTCCCGGTTATAAAAAAGAACTTTACTAAAAGTCCTTTTCTTGCAGGATTGTTTCACTTATTAATAAATATAAAATATTTGATTTTTGTCGGTCCTTTCATATCTTTAAAAGCTATGTCAGAAACATACTTTTTCAATAATAATATTATTTGTTTTCAATTTATTTTAAACATTTAAATATTCAGAGATTGTTTAGAAATTTTCTGTGTTCTTTACATTAATACATGTTTATGGTTATTTATTATACACACGATTAATAAGCGTCTCCATTTTTGTTCGTCGATTGTTTATATTTAAGCGCTCTGGTTTCTCTTTTCGATTGACTGACTAGCGAGCGTGGCGTCCGCTTTTATAGAACTTAGCGTCTGTTAGCGGTAGAGGTGGAACATTTGAGCCTTGTTTTTTTTTATTTTAAAGTACATACCATAGTAACGTACCAAATATTATTAATAATAATATTAATGGAGGATGCGATTTAACCGCAATAATTTCTCATTGCAGGAAAAAGCACTGGAGGGGTACTGTCAAAAAGTAAAAGAGTTCTGTCCATTAAAACCAGGTCCGCATGGTCCGAAAGGCGACCACGGGGAAAGAGGTTTGCCTGGATTACCTGGAATTCCTGGTGCTCAAGGTAAACCTCCGGCTGCTCCCACAACTTAGCATTTACTGATATAATCTCTTTCCGAAGGTCCTCCTGGGTTTCCTGGCGAAAAAGGAGACGCCGGTCGTCCAGGGAGGGACGGATTTCATGGGGAGAAAGGCGAGCAAGGTCGTTCCGGTCTGGACGGAAGAGTGGGTATACCAGGAGCTCCAGGTTTAGACGGACTACCTGGAAGGAACGGACACGATGGTATGCCAGGTAAAGACGGTTTACCCGGTAAGGATGGTAAAGACGGCATTAATGGTAAGCATAATTAGGTAAAAATTTGTAAATTTTAAAATAATATCATGATTTTCCCTGTTTCTAATATACAGCGTGGTGCAATAACTTTTGAAATATTTATATGGCAATCAACCATAGCGGTCAAAAATTTCACATTTCACATAATCTTATAGTTTTCAGACTTAAATTACGCTCAACTGTCTGGGTCGTTAAGGAAAATGTAAATTGGATAAAAGTTTGCCTCGTTAAAACTTTTTCAAAGCGATTGTAATGCGCTTTAAAAAATATTCGAAATAAAAATCATTAAAACGTGTCCCTAATTTTGTAACACGAAAGTAATTTATTTATTTTGTTAAAGGGCAAAAAGGTGACAGGGGACTGCCCGGACCGCAAGGCCCTCAAGGTCTTAGAGGCGAGTATTTTCTACATGTTTAAATTCTTCGACAACAGCGATTTCCAATATGTTCCATGCTACGATAACAACGCACAGGTTGTTTATAGAATATTAAAAAACTATGTTGGATTGGTTAATGATCATGTTTCCCAAAATCTCTCCTTCAGAAGATGCTAGCTATATTAACATTTATACTGTACTGAGTTATATCTGAAATATATTATGTCCATGAGACAGTTAATATAATTCTGAACTGAAATTAACCGCTTAAAATATTTAAAATTAACCCGCAAATTTAAAGGACCAAAGATTACAAGAAGAAATAAAAGTCTATAATAGTGTTTTTCGAATTTTTAATAAATTTCCTAACTAATTGTGCGTCTCAAATCAAACTAAGAATTCATTCAGTAAATCTTTCTGTTAACCAAAAGAAATTATTGTATACTTACTACCCATTTTTTTAAATAAAAATCATTTTTTTCCAAAAATAGAATACGGGGTCGTACAAATATTAAAAGGATTACTTACTATCCACTTTCCGTGAGAAATTAGTTAAATTAAAAAAAAACGCGATATAATATCAAACTATATTCATTTCAGTTCTATCCATACCTTTTTTGCAGTCAGAAGGTCAGAAATATTAATCTAAAAGAGCACTATACCTATCACGAACCAAAACCAGATGAAATTCGTTTAAATCGTTTGATACATTGTCGTAACTTATTTTCAAATCGGATCTCGCTTCGTTTAAATGATAAAACAAATACGGGGTATTTATTATTCGGAAGACAAAAGGTTTCTCGTCGATTCGTCGAGTATTAAAATGTTTCTTCGTTGGCCCTAGATATTTCAATTCGAACGAGCGAATTGATCGGGAATGGTGGATAAAGAGAACGCGGCAGGTGAATACACATTTACTCTTCAGCTTGATTGCAGTTCCTCATCGATACGTTGTTAAAAGTCTGCATCGATCTGTTTCGTGCAATTAAAAAGTTTGTTTGCGTTAAAAGCTTCACCGACAACTATAACTTTACGTGGTGGAAATGAAAATCGCCGCACAAACGGTCCAGGTGCTTTCGTTGATTGTTTACTTCGATTACATTGATTAAATAAATTAAATTCGAACAAAAAAAATACCCCACAACTACATTAATTTGTTGTTTTGCACAGTCAATGCCGACTTTGTGTCAAATTTTATTTAAAGGAAGAAGGGTAGTAAGGGGGACATATTTCACAATAAATGAATATGTACATTTGAAATAAAAAATTATATTAGCACATACAAAATGAACCAGTATTTTGGTATTCTTTGTCTATTGATTTAATTGATAAAATATTCAAAATTTTTGGCTAATTAAAGGGTACAAAAGTATCCAAAGATACAACATTTTCAATAACACCCTGTATCTAAAAATCCAAGTGAGCTATGATATTTCTGTTTGTGACACTTTTAATTCAATGAAAAGGTATCCTATTAATAACGAAAATATTCCGTAAAACCATCAAAAACACTGTATAATAGTATAATAGTAATAGTATATTACTGTGTATGTAGATAAAAAGCATACCCAGCTTGCTTTGTCTTTCCGGTTACAACGTAGGTAAATACGTATTTTATTTTTTTTAAATATCATACCGAACTATTTTATAATCAAATTTTCAAACTTAAATATTTTGAACATCTAAGTATATCTATTTGTACGCAGATTTTTTTGAATAACAGTTTTTATATGAGTTTTATTTTTAACAGATATTTATAAACTTATAATATATATATATATATATATATATATATATATATATATATATATATATATATATATATATATATATATATATATATATATATATATATATATATATATATATATATATATATATATATATATATATATATATATATAACTATACAAATGAAATGAATATAAATATGTAGGTAAATAAAAAAAGAACTAACAAAACAAAGAGGGGAATCCCCATTATTCGCCGTCTTTTTTATTATAAAATTTGGGGAATTTTTCTATCTAACAGCCGCGCGTTCGTAATAAGTGTACAACTGATCTCGAGCCGATGTTTAGCTCAAGCTTCAAAAGCTTTAAAGACCTGCCTATCAAATTTTCTTCCAGCTGTGGTATTGGGTCATTTTCATTTGAAATGTTATATTTGCAGGTTCGTACTAGTTTTTGAAAGATCAGTATCTTCATTTTTTTTTTGTTACAATGTGTTGAAAAGGTTCATTTAACGAGTATATTGTTAAAAAAAGAGCGTTCAATTTAGCAATCACATATATCGTTGCATTTTTATAAGTGATAATGGTAGCTAGTTAATTTTGTTTATATTCTTAAATTAGGCTTGACGGGACCACGAGGTCGCCCCGGAAAACCCGGCAATCATGGAACCCCGGGCATACCTGGGATAACAGCCTGGAAAATAATGGATAATTCTTCTCATTACCTTGTTCCTCCTTCGATTGCAGGTAGGTTACTGGTCAACATTGAACAACGCAAAGAGGTGAAAATTACTTTTCCAAAAAACTGAAAATCTTCCAACCGCCTGAGAGAAAATATTTATTTTTATTTTGTAAGTCGCTTAAAAAGCAAAGGTGATTTGGAAATCTCTTTATAACTTGAATACATCTTTTATTGATTTTTTATTATTATCTGACTTAATGGTAGTTGCTAATTATCAATTATCACCATTACATGTGAGATATTAGATACAAATTTGGTTAGTTTAAGGTTTAAGGTTACTGTTTCCAGTTTTTTTTTTCTTAAGATGTAAAATTTTAAATACGTTCTGAATTCGTCTTATCTTATTAAAATTAAAAAATACCAAATGGTGCACTCGAAATATAGCGGAAATTTGCGTTAATTAAACAAAATTCTATTAGCTACAATTTGATTGGAAACGAATCAGTGTGGCATACGATATTCAGCGGACCTTCGTTGTGTTTTAGTTACAAATTTCATTAATTTGTTGACGCAGAAATAAATAATTCGCGCACTATTTTGAGTCAAAACAACTTGTTTATGTCTACCAATTACATTTTCGAAATTAACATTGCAATTCGGCAGTCAATTAACACATGATATAAATCCAAAAATCAGCCGCTGTAAAGTCAATTTTAACATCTTAGTGAATTAGTGTTACCGAAACTATAATATAATTAGTTTATTATAATTAGGTATTGTACCCGACAACACTATATTACTACATGTTCATTATTATACCAAACAAAGTACAAATGGGTAACTACAAAATACTTATGCTGAAATAAATATTCTACAAGAAAGAGTACGCTTTAACTTATTAACACTAGGGCATCAGCAAAACAGATCAAATGAGCTGAAATGAAATGAAATGAATTGAAAGCGAATGAACCAGGGTTAAAATATTTGACTAAGCTGTCACACAAATGCCACTCTTATTCTATCTTAATTCAACGTAGGACTTTAAATTTTTGAATAGAGAAATATAAAAAAGGAATATGACTGTTTTTTGTATGATTTACGACATCTTTGCAAACCAAAAAGTTTAATTTTTAAGTTATCTTAACATAAGAATTTATATCGAACCAAACATTTTCTTACTTTATAGAATCAAAAAAAAAAAATCTTTTAAACAATTTTTTTAAATCTAAACTGCTTTTCACCAGTTCTCTTGTATCACTTCCGCATTGGCTTAATCAAACTGTAGCTCATGCAAATCCTTTTCACTTACTCCTATATAGGTTCTATTTTACTCTATATAATAGTACCTTCTTCTATGCATCTTGAATGATAGCTTGCTTTATTCGCAACTGCTATTGAATCAGCCGGAAGATATTTTTATCATTTCACCGAAATAGTCTTCAATTCATGGCGTCATGATATTCTTCTGTCTGGTACGACTGAAAGATACTAAACCTATTTACAATTTTTTTGGATTTCTCCCGCTTCGGTTGTTGATGAAACGAACGTGCAAACGTTTCGCCAATCATCCTGTGGGCTTCGTCAACTCAAACTGATTTGCACTCTAATTTGTACCTGCTTATAAGTTGTAACATTATATTTCTTAACAACTTTTGATATGTGGTCAGTAGTGTTTTGAATGTTAGGAAGGACCACAATGGCAAGTGTAAGGTTGCTTTTGGACTCATTGCCTTTGGAAGATTCGGTGAAGTGTTTTTTTGCGGATAGTTAAGATGGTTAAGAAAATCTCGCGGGGATTTTTGGCCATGAGAATAAATAAAATAAAATAAATTACAAAAAAAAATGACAAGATTTGATTCAAAATTCTCGGATTTTCATATATCTGAAATTATGTTGAAAATTTCAGGAACAGGAACTTTAGTAAAGATGTAGAAGCTAACCAGAAGATGATTTCTAATGTAATGGTTTTTAATTCTAATAGCTAGACAATAAGTTGGAGAACCAATAATACTAAGTCGAAGGTGTAATCCTGATTTGTGAATCTCAGCGAGTCCGCAGGAACGAGGAATTTTAGAGTGGTGTAGGGTGGCAGATTTTTTCACCGGACGATTATTAAGCTCTTTTCTATTGCAGCCTGTCCGTTGACAGGCCGTCAATAAAATCTTATCGAGAACTGATTATATTTGTGTTTTGGTGCTATAAAACATTCATTAATCCATATCTCGTTAAGAAAAATATTTTTTTCTGCTCTCTTCCGCGCTGCTTGATACCTCTCAACTACTTTGATCGCCAGCAAACAATTCCATTGCTTTCCAGTAAAAGTGCTTTACGGTTATACTCTTCCCTGGCCAAATCCGTATTTTTTAAAGCGGTCCATAAAAGTTCGATTACAATTTCATCTAGGATGGGAATTTCTTTTTGAGTGAATAAATAATAAAAATAGCTTGACCTGCAGTTTAATTTTATTGCAGTGCTTATAACCAACACTGAAATTGACAGGAACTGGAGAGAATTTGCCAGCTCAAATATTAGAGATTTTGCTAAATTAAACATTTAATTTAGAGCGCAAGCACAAAAACTTTTATTAATTCACAGTTTTCTGGTTATTGTATTCCATTAAATCGAAATTATAAAAGACTGGGAAAAACTGCGAAACTTTAAAATGCGTCTCGAAAATTATTTTTCCGAACAATCAAAGAAAATCAATCTGGACGTTTTTACAGAATCAGGAAATAACCGTAATTTGGCAACGTCGCAAATTGATCCGCTCAGAAAAAAAGGCACCCAATCAGCTAAACGTTCGAGAACGAATTTCCCAGGTGCGCGTTTATACCAAACCCACCTCCCACGCGCCCCCTCTTAATTCAGTTCTTTATGGCTCAGGCTGCTATCAATCAGCGCGACAACTAACAAAATATAATTAATCACTCGCACTTTTTAACCGACTGAATTATTGCAGTTGAGAGTTGGGGAAAATTTCAAAGTCCGCGACGTTATAAAAAAAGGGACCCACGTCGGCCTGCGATAAATCAAGGCATAAAAAATGACATCAATAAGTAGGTATGTTGTTGGTCAGTCGACGGCTTTATGTGACTCTTGTTAGGCGGAAATATGGCCGAAATGAATTACCCAACAATTTTGGGATAATATCTATGAGCACGAATATTAAAAGTACTTAGAAGTCTATTAAAAGTATTAAAAAATGACATCAATAAGTGGGTGTGTTGTTGGTCAGTTGACAGCTTTATGTGACTCTTTGTTAGGCAAAAATATAGCTCAACACAATTACCTACAAGGATTCTGAAATCACATATATTTGCCGAAGGATATTTAAACTATTTATAAGTGTATTAATAGTATATTATGCAACAAGTGCGTGTTTGCGAGTGTTTAATAAACACTCGCTCCGCTCGTGTCAAATAAACTCGTGAGTCAAAAAGTTTACCGAACGTGTTGCATACTATACTTTTTCTACGACCGTTTTTTTTTAATAGTATATCGTGCAACAAATGCGGTAAAAGACATTCAACTCACGAGTTTATTTGACACGAGCAGAGCGAGTTTTTAATAAACGAATATATTCACTGACATGACTGTCAGAATTGACAAACATCAAAATTCAAGCAATGCGGTAAAATCTCCAAAAACATGCGATTGCTCCCAAACCCGTGCGGTAATATCCCGGAAATGTTCGAAGTGGCTCGGATCCGTGGGGCAAGAAACTCACGTAGTAAAGTGACGCTTCCCGCACGCTAGATCGGTGTATAATTAGGTACTTTACAGAAGGAAACAGCAAAAAATGTAATTTTTTCTTTTATATGGACAGGAAAAAAGATAGAAAAGTTCCGACAAAAATAGCTCTTAACCCCTTGAATATGATTTTTTGAAATACAATTCAAACCAAGTTTTCCCCAACTTACACTAACTAAAGCAAAGCAGCACTAACCAATTTGTCACAGATTACTTTTATTTTTTAGCCACTCGTTTATTAACTCGTGTTTAAAATGGTGTTTATCAAACCTGCTGCATAACATACTATATGTATACAGGATTCCTTATCAATTCCCGTCACTAGTAAAAAAAAACTGCCTGTATGGAAAGTAAGGAAGGATAGAAAAATTCTCATCAAAATGGCGCTGAGCTCCATCAATGTGATTTTTCTGAAAAAGAATTCAATTAAAAATTTCCCAAGTATACCCCAATTTGGATAATACTAACCACAACTTACCAAGACCAACAAATTTGTGTCAGAAGAATTCAGCTAACTAAAATAAGAGCTTTATTTGTATTGTTGAAATACGTCATCTATAGAGGATTCGTTACAAATTCTTCTGTGGATAGTAAAAAGAACAGAAAAGTTCCCACAAAAATGGCTCCTGATTCTTTCAATGTGACGAACCAAAACTTACCAGACGAATTCTGACAATTAAAATGTGTGTTATGTACTTATTATTATTATTATTATTATTATTATTATTATTATTATTATTTAAATTCTACAGGTACAAACTATGGTTAATCAGGAAAAATAAACAAGAACAGAGACATTTCAAAGAAGTTCAATTTATGTAAAAACATTGTTAATTGTATCATAACTAATTGTAAGGAAAGACCTCTAAATTTACTACAAAACTACCAAAACTACGACTATAGATGATAGCATTCGGATTACAAAATTTCTAAGAGTTAAAATTCAGCACTCCAGGTTCGAATGGTTTAGTTTTCAGTCAGTTTAGATTAGTTTCAGTTATTCTCGAAAGTTTATTTAGGTGACTTGAAATTCTTATGATTTTACGGTAGGTGCTCCAATAATACTTATTGTTGAACAGGCATGCAAATTACCGTTTCATTGTGTCTAAGCGAATGTGAAAAATGGCGGTGACATCTCCAAATGTTTATCGATCAAGCAGGTAGAATAAAAATATAGTGATTCGTTTGATGGGCGTGCATCACACAAAACGGATTTGCCCTATTTTCAATATGGTCATTTTCATTCTTGTTGTAGATTTATTGTTTTCCCTCTTTTTAATAAAATAAAAATTTGACATTAATGAAACATGTAAGA